GGTGGTGCTCAGGGTCTATCCCTCAAGCTTTCTGAAATTAACAAAATGGGGCCAATAGTAACTACCTCACAATATTGTTTGGAAGTAGATATAATAACAGATGCTCAATATAAATTATTCCTTTTCTCTCCCAAGTGCCACTTGTTCCCCTGGGTCATATAGGACCTGTCCTGTTTCTCAGAACGTCTCCAGGTAGAAATTACTGTCTCAAAATTGTTCAACCTGCCTTATTTTGTTGTTAGTGTTCTGTTTTATTTTGTTTTAGGCTTTTAGAAGCCTTAAGTCATGGTTTTTAATTTCTGTTTCTAGTGATAAGAAGAAAAGAGGGACGAGGAAGGGGCTTTGCTGGTTCAACTAGAAATAGTTGGACATCACTGGAAGTGTTGAATTTTGATGATGAATATAGGTACATAATTTATATTTAGCATTTCTGGCATTTAATTGTGGTCCTAGATTCCCAGTATCAACAAGTTCCAGTTTGTGTGGATAGTGAGAAAGACCACTGATTGGCAGGGAAACATCTGCCATCAATTTATGGCCTTTTCCTGCACAAGAGGGATGGAGACCTCCTTAGGCAGTTAGACCAAAATCTATTGACTTGGACATGCACGATCTATTGGTTTAGAAAAGTGAGTTTGGTGACATAAGTTCCCTGGGGATCCTTCAGTTTTCCTGGGTCAGAAGAGATATATTACCATTCTGTAAAGACATTTTGCCATATAGGAAGGAAGCAAACACATATATGTATCAGTGAATCTTTACATATCAATACATATATATGTATATATATATTCATATAAAGCAAGAGATACTATGTATATTTATAGATGTATACTTGTAATATAAAAACATATACATACAAATGTCTATCTGAGATATAAATAATACATAAAGTAGGATAGAGGGGAAAGACAAGTAGAAGCTGATATAAAAGTTAGAGACAGCATAATATTTTGGAGCTACTAATTTTAAGAGGGTGTAGACCTATACATTTATTAGCCCCTGAAGCCATTACCCTATCATAGGTGGTTTAAACTGTGTCTATTGAATTGGAATTTAACAAAGCAACAGTGCTCATGAATTTCTGAAATGTGAAAGAAAGGTTATAGTCAAAGTACAGTGCTCTATTTAGGAAATGGGGAGCTGTATTATCATTTTAGAAAGATTTTAATTCATAGTAACTGAAATAAAAGTGGTCTGGCTGGGCGAGGTGGCTCACGCCTGTAATCCCAGCACTTTGGGAGGCAGAGGCGGGTGGATCACAAGGTCAAGAGATTGAGACCATCCTGACCAACATGGTGAAACCCCATCTTTACTAAAAATACAAAAATTAGCTGGGCGTGGTGGTGAGCACCTGTAGTCCCAGCTACTCAGAAGGCTTAGGCAGGAGAATCGCTTGAACCGGGGAGGTGGGTGTTGCAATGAGCCAAGATTGTGCCACTACACTCCAGCCTGAAGACAGAGCAAGACTGTGTCTCAAAAAAAAAAAAAAAAAAAAAAATTGTTCTTATTCAGGATAAATTTCTAGAAGATTCACACATAGAGGATATTTTATTAACCCAAAGTAGGATAATATAGGCATTGTTTTGCACAACATAGTGCTGAGCATGTGGTAAATACTTGAAAAAAATTCAGTATATACAGGGCCTTTCAAAAATGCACTTGATTACTTGACTGCTGGAGGACACACTGATAATACATTCCCTACCTACATTTTTCTACAAAATGTTGAAAATCATACCATGTCCTTATTTAGCGTTGATCTGATTGAGCAAGTCACTGGCCTGCATTCACTCAAATGGGATACTAAAATCTAAAACCACTTTTTAAAAAGTTGATTAAGAGACTGATACTTTTTTCAACCTAAAATAATAACACATTTCATTTGAGCTTATCTCTTATTTTAAGCCCTTAAGATATGAAAACTACTACTGATAAATACTATAAAGAACCTGCAGTCAGCTCCCATTCTTTTATGTAATTACGAGGATTGCTCAGACAGCTTATCTGTTTTAAGTTCTGAAAGTCTCTTTATCCTTTATCTGCAGGAACACTAATCACTTGAAAAGGATAAGACTGAGAGAACTTGTTTTAAAGTCAATTAAAACAATTTTTTTTCATCAAATTCTATTGCTTGTGTTTCCTGGGTCTCTTGTATCTCTTAGTTCAACGACTTCCCTTTCTGGTGTCTGAAATGGTACTTTACATCCACTTGAGCATAGGTGAGCTGTTTGCATTTTCTGGTGAGATAAGCATCTCTGAAGGCCTTTTCTATCCATTTTTTGGCCGAATTTTGCCAGGCCCAGGGAACAGGGAACAACTGGTCTGAGAATTAGGAAGCCTTTGCTCTGGGTTTCCCTCTGTGATCTGGTAAGAGCCCTTTGACTATCTGCCACAGAAATGACTGGCAACATTTGGCAAAAGAAACTCTTGGAAGGACAGCAAAGGCCCACAGACTCAGTGGACGGCTGGCTGAAAATCGGGTTTGAAGATGGGCTGGTGCCAGGGCCACTTCAAAGGCTGGGATTCAGGGGCCTCAGCAACAGTTGCAGCAGGAACAGGTAGCAAGAACACTGCCAGGATGAGATGGAACATCCAATCCCAGAGGACTGGCCCAGGCTGGATGTCTATTCTTGTTAGACATGGGTGGAGTTCCCAATTACAGTCCACTGGGCTCCATTCAACATAAAGAATTACCTTCAAATACACATGTTTTTGAAGGAATGTTGTTCCTTAGAGGAAATAAGGAAGCAGTTTGGGAAAATGACACAATGTCATTTCTTAGAGGAAATAAGGAGGCAGTTTGGGAAAAGAAACTTTTCCCATTGCATGCTGGCCAGATAACTTTGTCCACTGCTGTGCTACTACCTGGTATCTTTAAACCTGCTTCCAGCTTTGAAACAAATGGAGACTGCTTCTCCCATTAAAGCTGTTGGAATTACCACATCCTAGGGATGTTTCCTTCTATGAATGCCTGTGTAACCAATGAACAATATAGGACAAACCAGAAGACTTTTATGAACAATGGGGGGGTTATGTGGCTGCAACCTATTGCTATATAATAGTATTACCACAAACTTACATCTTAAAACACATTTATTGTCTCACAGTTTCTGTGTGTCAGGAATCTATGCATGGCTTAGTTTGGGTCCCCTGTAGGTTCTTCTGAGGCTGCAATCAAAGTGGCAATGGGGGCTGTGGTCTCATCTGAGGCTTGACTGGGGAAACAGCCACTCTGAGCTCACTCAGGTTGTTTACAGAATTTGTGGCCATATGCAGGACTGATTTCAGTTTCTTGCTGGTTGTTGGCTGCAGGTTGCCTTTTGCTCTGAGGCTGCCCACAGGTCCTTGCCTCTTTGGGCCTCCTGACATGGCTGCTTTGATTCCTTAAAGCCATCAAGGGAGAGAAATGACAGCAATATGGGTACCACAGTCTTATGACATGTGACCACATAACAACACACCCCATCACCTTTACTGTATCCTATGGGTTAGAAGCAAGTTATGGGTCCCAGCCACACTCAAGGGGAGGGGAGAACATGAGGGTGTAAACACCAGGAAGTGGGGATCAAGGGACAACCTCACCAATCTGTAGAGGGGCAGCACTGGGTGGAACAGTATCCAGAGCTACCTGGAAATCTAACACTTTCTTTCTTCCTATGCATCTAATTTCCCTGGGAAGGTAATTTTTTATGTGGAGAATTGATGAGGGGAACAAAACAAAACCTTGGCTTCCAATCTCTAGCTCAGTCACAGAAGAAGAGGAGGCAGATGTAAGAACCTCCTCAGAGCCATAGCAGCTGTCTTGCCTGGTGTTTCTCTCATAGTTCTGTGTAAGCAATAAAATCTAGTAGCCTCTACAGAACTAAATATTTTGTCTATAGCTACCATTTGGCAACTTACCTTGTCCTTATTGCATGGAAATGCTTTATTGATTCATGTGTACATACTATCTTTTTCAACTGTATTATTAAAAGGCAGGGGCCGTTTCTTAAATCAGAGACCATTCACACGTTCTCCAAGAAGGATAAAAACAAAGGCAAAAGTACTTCGGAGGAAATATTTCATATTGGTTTTCTAGTGGTAGAGGAAGAGGGGTTTCTAGGTCAAGGTGAAAATCTGCCCTCTCCTAGCTGCACTTGGTTGTGTGAACAAAACGTCTATTTGAAAGGGATGACTTTATGAATGCTCAGATTACCCTGACTCAATGTACTTGATTCCTACTAGAGCTGCCAGGCATGTCTCTAGAAGTAAATGGGCAATGGATAACGAGGTCCAATACACATGAGTACTTGCATACCATCAGTGTGACCATGGACTTGGGGCTTTAATCCCTGCCTCAGTTGCAGCTCATAGGTATGATACATTTAAAGTGTGTAACTATGTCTACATAGAGTAAACATGTAGGAAATAGATATTATGATGCTCCTTTAAGACCCTGACCAGGGAAGGCACTTGTCAATTCTCAAGGTGCAATTCATCCCATAACAACGGGATCAAAAAGATGCACACTGAACATATTGGAACTCATCCCTTCTCTTGGAGTTCCTGGGGGTTTGGTGCAGTAGTTCTCTGGGAATGGAGGATGTTAGAATTCTTACTGCTGTTTTCCCATCCCTGGAGCTAAGCCATCCAAGAGGTATGTTAAGAGGGCTGGTACAGACCCACCTCTGGCTAAAGTAAGAAGCATGGGACAGATACTGGTCACGCCAGGGCCCCTCGGAGCCTGTCTTTCATTTCTAATCTCCTGGAGTGTGGTAAGAAGCACATGGGACCTAGCTGGGTGTCCTTAGCCTCTCCAAAGCCAATTTTACCTCTGTAAAAGTGGAGCAATCTCAAGGGTCAAAATAGGGGACAGAATGTAGAAACATTCTAAAAACTTGGCATATCTAAGGGAATCCAGAGTGGATACTCTTTACCAAGAATTTGCCTCTGTGATTAGGTCAATTTTAACTTTCTCCCAACAGTGCCCTAACAGGCCAAATGAAAATGTTAACTACATTTTAGAAAAGTTTTAATTTGAACAACTTATGATTACAATACATTTTATAAATAATTTTCCATAGACTTGATTGAGGATTGTTGCAAACTTTACAAAAAGATATACTGCAACAGCAGATTAAAGAAATTACAAAAAATATAGCTATACCCCATTTAAAAATACAATATTATACATCACACAGCATTTTCTTTGTGCAAAATGTTTAAGGGAATGCTGTGTTAGACATGTCAAACTTATTTACTCAGAGGGAAGTAAACTTTAATACAGTTACTTTGCGTAACAGCATAGGCACAGCTAAAATAATGGATTTTTCCCCCTAGAAGTTAATATACCTTAGAATTCAACATTTTACTTTTATTTTGTAGGATTGAAAGCTAAACTGAGCTTTATACAAATATATGTGTGTGTGTATATATATGTACGAAAACAAATATCTGCTTTCACATTGAGCAAATCCCCAACGTATTTACAGTATTTTCAGAGAATGTGCTTTCCAAATCAGTCTGTGTACATTTTGTCTATTAAACAACTCTTTAGAAAATTAAACTAAGCCAACATCTGTTGATTAATGGACATCCTCTGTTGAGACTTCCAGTTTTCGCTGTGGGACAAAGAGAGTTCCTAAGGAGGTCTTATTAGCACCATTAAAATCCATGCAGGATGAGCTGGTTGGCTTGGTAGGTCCACCTGGGGTACGGAAGAAACTTTCGGCCACTAATTGTGACCCTTTGGGTGTCACAGGAATAGGCTGATTGGAAAGAGAAGAATTGGACAAAAAGTCAAACACACAGTTACATAGTCCTACCAGACTTGGAAGGCTGGGCTGGATGGATGTATTACACATTGGGAAACCGGCATATCTTGAAATTGGTGAGGGAAGCTTTGATGCATTTTACATTCTCAATTATTTTTGTTAGGGAGAGACAAAAATCTCATGATAACCCAAGAATATGAGTGCCTTGGACACTCTTCCTGGGTTCTGGAAGAAAGGTAGTCCTTCAATCTCCTCACTCTCCCATCCTTTCCCTCTCTAAAGAGGGAAAGCATAAGCAAGTCTCTTACGACACAGATAATTGGGACTTAATAACTCCAGGAAAAAAGAAATTAAGTAGAAAGCCTCTCACCTGTTGTGCCCCTGTTACAGCAATGGATTGTCCATTTGGCTGGCTCTGGCCTAGGACTGGTGAGTCATAGTTAGTGGCCCTTCCTTGCTGAGTGCCTGCATTTTCTGGTATGACATTAACAGCCTCTATTCTTGGAGACACAGGAACGAGTCCAGGCCCAGGGCTGGCAGACATCTGCACACTGGGTGAGATGAGTCCCAAGTGCTGCAGGGTGAAGTTTACAATGGCTGAGCTTGGGTTGTAGATGGGAATGGGGTGGCTTGAAGCGAGAGCCGGGCTGTTCCCGACAGGTACAGCTGCCACGGAAGTTGGTGAGACCATTAGCTTCAAAGGTGTTACATGAAAAGAGGGAAAATTAACAGCAGTGAGTTCAGATGATGTCACTGGAATAACACCTGGAAAGAAAAGGGGGAAGATATCTTAAAAGCACAGGCATTTATCCAAGAAGTTGACAAGGCTTAAGTGAACTTGAGACTGGCCCACATCTGGTTAGTGTTTCATGTGCACTCACCTGCAATTGGGGAGCTGTAAATCCTGTGGTTTGGGGAAAGAGCACCTGAGTTTTCTTTACTAGACAAAATGGACTCTGCCCCCAGGGATGAGCACTGGGTGAGAGGGATTAGGTATCCTGATGGGAACAAGGTCTAGAAAACAAGGAGGATGGGTTTATTTTACACACAAATACAGGAAGAAAAATGGCCACGTGCCTCTTTCAGGACTAATACCCCTTCATGGTTGCCACGTTGTACCAAAGCCTCCAGAGGTATGGGCTGCAGGCAGGCTGGCCACCTGGTTCCTAGAGGACAATACCCTCCCACCCTTTGCAATGCTTGCCCTGAATAATACAGAACATCTGTTTCTTAAATGCCACCTGTGATGTTAGGACACGTCTGGATGCTGGCACTGACTTTGCTTAGGGGTAAGGATTCACCAAGCACACCACCCTCACACTGATAACCTAACTCCTGCTATTGGACTCCTTGGTATGATGTAATACTAATTGATTGTTCTTGAATTATACAGAATGGTATTTTCCAAACGGCATTCTGAGGGACCCTAGGTTGATGGGATGTAAACAGGCATTACCTGATTTTTGTCAAATATAATTGGGAAATGCTGAATTAAACAAAGTCAAATGGTGTCTTTATCAGAGGACTTCCAAGAGGCTTTAATGATGGTCTGCATTAAAAATCTCCAAGTGGGGCATGCAGCAGGTAGCATTTCCCAAACTATATGGCAACTCTATTTTCAGTAGGTGATTAAGGACAACTAGTATTTAAAGGAAACACTTTAAACGAGGTTGATTTAGTGAAAGGGGGATAAACGATGGGCCATGGGCCAATTCCTACTCCCTACCTGTTATGATAAATAAAGTTTTACTGGAACACAGCCATACTCATTCATTTATGTACTGTCTATGGCTGCGTTCCTGCTATAATGGCAGAGTTGAATAGGTGCAACAGAGCCCCTATGTCTAAAAAATGTCTACTATCTGGCTCTTTAAAGAAAGTTTGCTGACCCTTGATTTAAAACAGAAATTATATAAGTACAGATTTCTTTCAAGTACTGCTTGCTCTAATGATAACCAGCAGTCTTAAAATATGCAAAGTACACCAGAGTTAAAAATTACGAATAAGAGAACTGATTAATTCATATTAGAGATCCACATGTCATTGAGCAAAAGTTTTAGGCAATAAGGTTATACTGCAAATAGAAAAGGCCCAAGGGTAGGGCTGCAAGTACCTCCCAGATGCCTGTTAGATCACTGTACTTTACCAAACAAAACATTTACATGAGTGGCTGAATTGCATGAAAAGTCTGCTTTAGCCTTACCATGAGTGGGACTGGTAAAAGCCAAAAACTGCTCTTATAAACTAGGGCCCTCCTTTTATCTTCCTTTAGACCCTTCTTCTCTCCATTGTTAAAACAACAGTTTAATTTAGTTGTTAATATGTCATTTCCTTGGGAACTAGGGAATTCAGAATCTACAAAGTTGAAAGTATACCACAAGCTTTTAATTGTGTTTCTTAGGTGCTTGGGACCACTCAAAATCTCTACTCATAGGTGCCTTGAAAACTGCAGGAAGATAGACTTTTTGAGGGGGAAATTTAGGTGCTTTATGAAGAGCTGCTCTCTGTTAGTTTTAGTTACATTGTCTCACGGTACAAATTATTCTGATTGCTGGTTTAACTCTTTCAAGTCTTTAGTAAAACCCACAGTAATATAATAATATTTTTTTACATTTCCAACACACTATATTCATTATAAAATATTTTACCCATAATGCCAATTCCCCCTTTTTTCTAAAAAATTAGAACTATTAAATTGCAGAATGAGTGAATCTGACATATTTGAACTTGAATGTCATCTCTTCTAACCTACAGTAGCCCTCCCCGCTCCTCCTAACATGCCATCTTCGTTCCTATCATTCACTACCTGATATGCTTGTGTTTATTTGCATACTTGTCTTCCTTCCACCCGTAGAAGTGTAAATTCTCAGTAAAAGTTTGTTGATTGAATTAACACATGCATCTTCATTGTCTGTTTTGCTCAGGCCAGACTAAAAAGAAATGGTTAAAGTAGGCTGGGCATGATGGCATATGCCTGTGACCTCAGAACTTTGGGAGGCCAAGGTGGGCAGATTGTTGAGCTCAGGAGTTTGAGACCAGCCTGGGCAACATGGTGAAACCCTATCTCCACAAAAAAATAAAAAATTAGCCGGGCATGGCAGCACACTTACAGTCTAAGCTACTTGGCAGACTAAGGTGAGAAGATCACTTAAGCTTTGGAGGTCAAGGTAGGTGATGAGGAAAAAACTGATGGAATAAATTCTTTACAGATGAGGAAAAACAAGACAGAGAGAAGTAAAATAGAATGCATTAACCAGCAGAGGCAAAATGAGAGGTTAACTTTTTTTTTTTTTTTTTTTGAGATGGAGTCTCGCTCTGTCACCCAGGCTAGAATGCAGCGGTGTGATCTCGGCTCACTGCAACCTCCTTCTCCTGGGTTCAAGCAATTCTACTGGCTTAGCCTCCTGAGTAGCTGGGATTACTACTGAGTAGCTGGGATATGGATGCCACCATATCCAGCAAATTTTTGTATTTTTAGTAGAGATGGTCAGGCTGTTCTTGAACTCCCAATCTCATGATTCACCCACCTCAGCCTCCCCTAGTGCTTGGATTACAGGCATGAGCCACCACACCTGGCTGACAGATTAACTTTTACTTGCACATTAAGTGGTATTTATTGGATGATACAGTAATGTCTTTCATATATAATTGCCCTAAGGGAGGAAAATGAGATACTGTATGTAAAAGTTCCTAATACTTAGTATGTCTGCTATATGTGGGTAGACATCCAATAAATGTTAATTCCCTCCTGAACTAACCTCCACCTAGAAAAGTTTATCTAGCTTGTCAAAATCTCTAGAAACAAATACATGAATTATCTTGTCAAAATCTCTAGAAACCAATACATAAATATTACATCTAAAATTTGCCAAGATCAGTTTGATTTTTCTATGTACACAAAATATAAATTTTGATTTAAATTTTAGGTAGAAAGTAAAAACAGGGAGCAATGTATCTTCTAGGCAACAGATGCCAGTTATATGACATCAAGCAACTATTAGGTAATGACTCAGAAAGCAGGAGTTACAGGAACCCTATGCATCCATCCATTCATCTGGGGTTACGTTTGCTTGTAAATTATTTAAGACTTTCATGACAGGTGTTTGCATTCCAGTGTGTGATGGAGAAATGCACTTAAGGACAACCACCCATGGTACTTTAAAAAGAGAGCAAATAATCCCTTCCTCCAAAGGTTAAAAATGTCCCTGCCATCATCCCAGCCAGGGGATTAGCTGTTAAGGGCCTCAATTGGATTATGGGATGCTAAGGAACAGTTCTTGTCTTCTGAGAGAATGTTCTTTGGTAAATTTCACAAGCCACCAGTCTTCCTGTAATAGACTTGGGAATTCCTAATGCTTTGTGCAGTTCAAGGCTGTACTTACTGCGGAGACATTTTCAAGTCCTCTTAGGTCCTCTTTAAATTTCTTTTTGGAACCACTGTTCTCGAGCATGCTTGCCCTCTTTGAGCCTCTTTCTCCAGCCAGCTCCCTGTTTCGGCTCTTGGCCCCTTGCCTCTCTGGTGCTGGCAGCAAGCTTCCAGGCCTGCTAGAGGAACTGGCCTTTGAGGTATCATTGGCTGCCTTCTCAGTGGTGGTGTCTGTTGAGTCTTTTGATCCAGTAGCCTTAGAAGAGTGGGTGGAGTGGACTGGTGGGCTCAGGCCTTGGGGTGGCGTCACACTTTGGTGGGCTTGAGCGGGCTGCAGGTAGATAGCATAGGATGGGCCTGAAGGGGCCTGAGGTAGGATCAGGGGCACTGCTGATGACAATGGGCTGGGGATCAGGGGAACCACTCCCAAGGGCTGCATGAGGGATGGTGCTGTCAGCTCCATCTCAGCATTCACTGGGGTGTCCAGAGGGGCCACTGGTTTGTATGACCCAGATCTTGCCAGCTGTACTTTCACTTTCTGTCTGGATTCACTAAAAGACAAGATTTAATACATTACACGATAGAGATACATTAGATACATTTTTCTCTGAATTGTTCTATCACTTTAAGGCTCAGATTGAAGCCATGCTTTTATGGAACATGCAGATAGTTTTTGTAATGAGTAAGTATGAGATACAGACAAGATTAGCTTTCCAGTTTTCAAGGCTAGTGCTTCTTCTCGTATAAAATAAGTAATCCTAATAATGTAATGTAAAATGAATTCATCCTGTTATTAAAGAGCAATGCCAACCTACCTTGATTGCTCTTCTAACTGCATTTTACAAATAGCGGCGAGCTGAGCCATTTTACTTGGGAAGGGTGCAGAATTCTGAAAACTCTCAGCTGGTAAAACAGAAAGGAAGAGAGCATCGGTCAAAGCTAAAGAATAAATGTTTGCACAGATGAAATCTCACCAAAGTCAAAGGAACAGAAAGTGTGCACCCCCGCCCCAAAGTTGCATAGGAATTAAACAATGAACCCCACAAATGACTTTTTATCCTTTAATTTATACATTAGTTAGGCTTCAAGAGGGCTTGTGTATATAGATATTAAAGCAATTCTCTGACAACAATTTTAAGGATCAAGTTAGCAAAAAATAAAATAAAAGGTTCCCTGACATTTCTGAAAACATACCTTTGCTGGTCTTGATAGGGCTACTGGGAGCAGAATTTATCTTTCTCCGATCGCTTTCTATGCTCTTTACCAATTTGATAAGAGAAGGGTGTCGAGTAAAGTTTGGTTTCCCACGTGTGGAAAACAGGTTTTTGGCACAGTTCTCTTTTGAAGACCGATTCAACTCCAAATCAGAGGGAATGAAAGGAATCACAGGGCTGGAGCCTGAATCAGAAAACGTCTGTGTATTAAAACATGGTGGCTCAGTTTCCTTTTGGGTATGAAATAAAACAATTTTAGGAATAAAAGTGGCAACAGTTACAGAACACTGACTACGTGCCTGACACTGTTCTAAGGGCTTTACAGAGAAAGCCTTTTTTTTTTTAATTGCATTTTAGGTTTTGGGGTACATGTGAAGAACCTGCAAGATAGTTGCATAGGTACATACGTGGCAGTGTGATTTGCTGCCTTCCTCTCCTTCACCTATATCTGGCATTTCTCCCCATGTATCTCTCCCCAGCTCCCCACCCCCGACTGTCCCTCCCCTATTCTCCCCAACAGACCCCAGTGTGTAGTGCTCCCCTCCCTCCCTGTGTCCATGTGTTCTCATTGTTCAACACCTGCCTATGAGTGAGAACATGCGGTATTTCATTTTCTTCTGTTCTTGTGTCGGTTTGCTGAGAATGATGGTCTCCAGGTTCATCCAAAGCCTTATCTTAATAAATGAATTCTGAGACACAATATTTCCTACATTAGCATTTTAGAAACTGCACTATATCTTATAAGCAGTGGTGTGCTAGAGTGTAGTTATTAGTGATTTTTCTTTCTTAGTGATATAGAAAGAACTGTGGGTCTTACAGTCAGTGGAGTCTTAGATCTGATGAAATATGGCCCCATGTCAGTGATGAGCACTCTGACCCACAGAGACATTAACCACTGGGTCAATGAATCTGGTCAGTATGGCCCCAGAACTTTCACTCCAAATTCCTGCACCACAGGACCTCTCTGAGATTGTGCCAAAATCACAGTAATTCCACTGAGGTGCCATAGTTCTTCCCATTTCACCAATGAGAAAACTAAGCCTCAAAGACGTAACTTGCCTCAGGCCACAAAGCCAGAGTGGCAGAGCTAGGATCGGAACCTGTTTCCCTTTGTCTCCATGGCCCATGTTCTTGTTATTTTCAATGATTCTGGGTGGGGATCTTGGTAGAATGCAAAATGTCAGCATCACACAGTTAAGAGGAAGACTAGAAACATCTACTTTGATACCAGAGTAAACTCATTTCATACTCTCCATGGGCAAAGGTTCTCTTGTGGTCACCGTACCGCACCGCAGCAATAGTGTCTTATGCTTTGTGGTGCTTTCAGCTTGCCGAGTCCTTTCACATACAGATTCTACTTCTCTAACACAGGGTGAGAAGTGGTTATGGATGTTGGTTTGCTGATGGAGCCAGTAGCTAAACTTTCTATATTGCCATTCATCTTGAATCGTCTTTTCAATCATGTATATATCTTTTCCATGTGGGGCTATGAGTAGGAAGGGGAATGGAAAATATCTCCCAATGTACATTAATTCAAAATAATAAAGCAGGATAAAGAAAATGTGGTACATACACACCATGGGATACTATGTAGCCACAAAAAGGAATGAGATCATGTCCTCTGCAGGGACATGGATGGAGCTGGAAGCCATCATCCTCAGCAAACTAACGCAGGAACAGAAAACCAAAACACCACAAGTTCTCACTCATAAGTGGGAGTTGAACAATGAGAACACATGGACACAGGGAGAGGAACAACACACACTGGAAATTAAAAATTAAATACACACACACACACACACACACACACACAGTAAAGCAAAGGATGAAATAAAAAAATACACACCACTGGTATTTGGGCTTATTTCTGGGCCTGTCCATTTAAAAGCTGGTTTTCGGCCTCTTTCCTCTGTAACATGAACTTTCTTGATAAGATCCAGGCTACTCAGAACGTTAGCTATATCATACAACCTCCTAATTTTTGCTGGAAAAAAAAGTATGTATACCACTTAATGGAATAATGAAAGACCAAAGAATTTTCCTTCAGAAGGACCTCATGTATATTCTAAGAGCTGTCTTAACCATCAGTGTCAGACAGAGAAACAGCTGCCTCCTTTTAACTTCTTCTAGTGATACAGCTTTAATTAAGATAAAAAAGTTTTAAATATTTAAGACTCAGTTACTGCTAGTACTCAATTTTGAAATGACAATAGCATATGCTGACAAAGGAAAAATGACTTGATGAGATCACACTATCTAAAACTATGTTACAGATTTTTTTTCAAAAATAAAAAGGCACCATTCCTGGGTATCTTCTAATGAGGATTCAGAAGAATTTTATCAACAGAGAAAAGTATCAGTGATAAATGTCTTGCTTTTCTGCTTGCAATAGCTTATAACAAAATTTATTTAATATCACAGCATGGAAAATTCTGTACCCCTCAACATGTGTAATTTTTTAATACTGTCTTTATGTAATACGCAAAACATAGATCTAGGAATTTGACAAATCTCACATATCTTAAAGAGTTTCGTTACAAAAAGTCTGTTTTTACTGCCATCTTGATAGTAGCAATTACAAATCGAGCCCTCTTCTTCCTAGCCATACCAGAAGGTTCTGAATTCCCTGGGGATTCAGTAACTTACACATCTGCAGTTCCTGGAATAGTTTTCAAGGCCATGACTAACCAGTGAAACAGAGCTGAAAACTGTCTGGAGACTCAGTAAGGAAGGTAATCCCTCAGTAGTATCAGGACGTGTTTTCTGACATTGCAGATCTCCCAAGCCAAGTGCCCCTCCCCATCCACTGAGCACTTCTTTCCACACCCTTCCTGCAAAATCTGGTGTAATGGTGAGGGCATAGCTCTTCTTAGGAACCCAATCTACAGTTCCTTCCCAATTTTGAGCAGGTAACCTAGCTAGAACCATTCTTTCAAATTTTCTGGGGAAAATTTTATGAGTTATCTATCTATTTATTTATTTATTTATTTTGTGAGATGGAGTCTCGCTCTGTCACCCAGGCTGGAGTGCAGTGGCACGATCTCGGCTCACTGCAACCTCTGCCTCCAGGGTTCAAACGATTCTCCTGCCTCAGCCTCCTGAGTAGCTGGGACTACAGGCAAATGCCACCATGCCTGGCTAATTTTTTTGTATTTTTAGTAGAGACGGTGTCTCACTATGTTAGCCAGGATGGTTTCAATCTCCTGACCTTGTTATCTGCTTACCTCGGCCTCTCAAAGTGCCGGGATTACAGGAGTGAGCCACCCCACCTAGCAAAGTTATTTATATACGCTCTATATCAGCATCAGTGGAAGGAGACCTGCGGTCCAGACCCGCTTTACAATTTAGTGCTCATTTAGAGCTTACACAGAACAGATTCTCCTAGTGTTTACTTTTTATGAGAACAATGTTACAATATCAAATGAAGCAATGTGTCAAATAAGAGTAGTGACACTATGTATCATAACAAATTAGCTAAATCAGTATTATTGTGGCTTCTGGGGAGAAGTAAAGATGCAAAAACATAATTAGAGAAGATCTATTTATGCACCTATGTTTCCTGATTTGGAAATGAGTTTACAACTGTGAGTTTATTGTTTAAGAATAGGTTCAAAAATCCATGGCAGTCATGACACTTACTTTTAAACTTGCTTTTATCCAGATCTTCCACATGGTCCTCCCCAGTTAAAATCTTGGCAGCAACTTCTAGGCTTACTATCTGAGGCGTTGACACCAAAAACAGCATCACAAATTTCTGGCTCATTACCCTTAAAGACTTGTCTTTGCGGCTGTTTACAGAAGCTTTAGAGAAGGATGAGGATTAGAGAATTAAAATTCATAAAGGGACAAGTGACTTCTAAAGTAACAAGGCTAAAAATACCACCACCTGATCATACAGCTGACAACTGTGGCATTTGAATATTAAAGGCAGCAGTAGCTTTAGAGCCATGTTCTCCACAGGGCATTTTCTTTCGACAGAGGAGAAATATCACGCAGCCTGAGTTTTTCACTACTGTGTCTCACCTGCTCGAAATTCCACTCCAGGGAGTTCCACAAAACACATGTCTGGGTGTCCATTTGGGCCAGTGTTTGATTTGATGATATGATCCTCTATACTGTAACTCTTAATAAAATCAAACTCTTGCTCATATTCCTTCTTTTTGATCATCATAATCTGCTCAGCATACTTATTCTCCTCCCCGACGCTCTTCAAGGTGCCGAGGGTTTTGTTGAGATTGTGTCGCCCGTGCCAAGTGTACCTGTTTTTGGCGAGGCGGCTCACCATATGTAAACTCTCTAGGACATTCACGATATCGTAAATGCGTCGACGTTCAACATCTACAAAGAACATGCAATTGTCTGTTACAGATTTTTGTGACATGTTTAGAATCGAATAGCTTTTTCTTCCATGGTACGTCCTGGATAATATGTTTCCTAACTGTAAGTGCACATACTCGACAGATACTGTGAAGATGAAAAAAGCCATGTCCTTGCTTTCAAAGGGTACAAATAATATGAATTAGAAAGGCAACATTTAATGAGGGCCTAAGATGCGCTACACAGCTTTTAGGGCAAAAACTTCCTAATTTGTGAAGTAGGTATTGTGATCTGCACTTTAAGGATGAGGAAACAGAGGCTCAGACCAGCTCAACAGCTCACCCTGAAAGACCTAGCAAGTAGCAGACCAAATCTTTAAAACTCTACATCTCACATTTTTCAACTCATGTCTTGTATTACCCTTCCAATATATACAAACAAATACACACATCTATAATGATCATATGATAGAAACAAAATGCTGAGATTTCAGAAATGTACAAAAACCATGATGTAGTTTTTAAAAACTCGCATAATAAAACACCCCTTTTTTGGGTCTAATTTTGCTTACTTTCTTTCATTGCTTACTAGCTATCGTTAACAAAGTGATATTAGTAATTCTGTGACTCCCATATGTCTATTTCAATTGGGTTTTCAATATTCTGTAATGTTAGAATTCTCTTCATTCAAAAAACTTTATTTTAATTTAAATATTTGATGAGATCGGCTTTTCTGGAGAAGTGCTCTATAAAACGCTATTTAATAACGGTGCATCCCACTGACCTCTTGTGTTCCTGGAGGCTGCCAGATATGCACTTGCTTTGTACTGGCTGTTCCTTCTGCCTGGAACCCTTCTCCCTGATGTCCTCATAGCTCCCTGCCTTGCTTCTTTCAAGTCCTTGCTCAGATGTCACCTTTACAATGAAGCCTGATCTGAACACTTATGGCGAAGCACCTCTCCAGCACTCCTGATCCCTTGATGCTGATCTACAATTTATTTTTTCCACTGTATGTATTACTTTCTAGCATACATTATCTTTACTTACTTCCTATATCCTTTACTCAGTATCTATGGCCCCACTAGAATATAGGCTCCAAGAGAGAAGAGATTTTGCCCTTTTTGTTTATGGATGTATCCCAGGCTCCTACAACATTGCCTGGCACATAGTAGGTGATTAATAGATATTTGCTGAATTAAAAGGTACATCCTACCCAGCTACCATTAAGCAAATATGAAGACTAGATGAATCTAAATGGCATATTCTTAAAATGTGAAATGAAGTTGATATTTACAAACGTGTTAGAAGGGCAACTTTTCTTCACGGGGTGATCGCTTTGTATTAAAATGTATTATCTTGCACAGCACATCTCTTCACAGATTTAGATTAAGATACCCACATGACTGCAGAGGTACCTCAAATTTTCCACAGGCCCCTTTTAAGCTCCAAATAGATTCAGGTTTTTGAACAGAGAAGTAAAAAGGGGCAGGAGGAATAACTTGTGCCCAACACAAAACATTCAGAAAACTAGTCCTCAGAATAGCGCTGAAAGTCCAGGAGGGCACAGGTCCTGTTCCCACTCACAGAAGCTGATCCTCAGCACCAACTAGGAAAGTAACCATTCATCCTGATTCTTCAAGAACAGCAAGGGAAAGCAATGAGGCAAAAGTTCACAGTTGTAACTTTGTGAAACAAGTCGTAAGACAATGTTGCCTTTCTTTAAGACTTCAGAGATAACTGCGGTCAGAAGCAACCTCCATTGTAACTTTTCTGCCTCTAAGATTGGCTGAAAATTGCAACTATTTGTCTTCATTCTTAAATTGGAAGAGGGCTTTAGAGATTGAAAATTTCCGTGTGGTCTTATTTGTGTCTTTTTTTTTTTTTGAGTTGGAGTTTTGCTCTTTTCACCCAGGCTGGAGTGCAATGGCGCAATCTCAGCTCACCGCAACCTCCGCCTCCTGGGTTCAGGCAATGCTCCTGCCTCAGCCTCCTGAGTAGCTGGGATTACAGGCACGCGCCACCGTGCCCAGGTAATTTTTTGTATTTTTAGTAGAGACGGGGTTTCACCATGTTGACCAGGATGGTCTCGATCTCTTGACCTCATGATCCACCCGCCTCGGCCTCCCAAAGTGCTGGGATTACAGGCTTGAACCACCGCGCCCGGCCCTTATTTGTGTCTTTTACAAACACTGGCTCCATGAGCACACTGGCTAGATGAGCATGGGTCTGAAGGGGTTAAGTCCATAAAGCCACTTTAATTATTAACTCTTTCAGTGAGTTCTTTGCATACTTACTAAGTTCCTCTGCCACCTCATCAAGGCAGATGTCGTTATTCACAGCAGGGTTGGGATAATTAGGATATCGTGCTAAGAATTTATGGCACAATAATCCTAAACTTTTCTCTTTTCGACTTGGTTGAGATTTCTCGTACTCATCTCCAGATAAGTGTTCCTACAAAGGAAAAGGTAAACAATGTGTTATTCTAAAATAAAGTTTGACAGATTTATTAGGGGCATCTGTGCTCGATGACTAAAACTTCAACAGCTGCAAAGTCTGGGTGGGAGAAAAGGTTGCGGGGAGACAGTATAAATGCTTGGCAAACCTGAAAGGAAAGCCTGAAACGAAAATAATGCAAAGGTTCAGAATTCCCAGTGCTGTATTTCTTGGGGTCCAAACCTTTCTGGTGCTCTGAAGGAAGTTAATAACAGCCTTTGGGTGGTGATGCTTTAAATTACTGGCACTTCTTCAACAGCTACACACCCCCAACAATTTCCCCAGTCTCCAACAGTCCTCTGAAAACCTACGTGTAAACAGTCTTTGGGTTCAGGTAATCCACTTCTGTTGTCAAACAATCCCCTTTTCTGATCTCTGTTCCGGATCTCAGGGCTCACAGCACTGATGAGCATTTTCAGGTTGGCTGTCGGTGTCCATGGTTCTCCCTGGGAGCCTTCCTTGGGCTTGGTGGGTGTGGTTAAAGGGCCAAAGTCAGGCTGGATCTCTGCCAACACGATATTTGCTGTGGTGGATTCTTTCAGAGGTGTTTTCATTAGTCCCCTTTTATGTGGCTCACAAAAGAGATTTTCCTGGTTTAAAAATGTAAATAATTAAATCCATAGTAAAACAGGATTTATCAAATAGCTTTGGACTCTAAAATTGTACACTGAAAAGAATCATGCCAACAAAAAAAATGTCTAATGAAATTGTAGAGCGGATGGCATTAATAACTGTATTTGGATGGTCATGTGATATGTATTGTCCATTCTAATAATTAAATTTCCCATTTTTAATTTTGCAATCAGGCATAAATGTTTTCACCTTATGTTTTAACCACTGAAAAAACAACTTTAGCTAGGACTTATAATTTTAATTGTATTTGGAAATCGTTTTAGATTTAGAGAAGAGTAGCAAAGACAGTATAGCATTCCCAAATGCCCTTCACTCAGCTTCCCTTAATTGGACTAACAATATTAAGTGATCTCAAATTCCTAGAAGTGACTTTTTTTACTCATGGCACTGTACTAAGTAAAGACCTCCAAGGCAGAAACTCTTATCCACCTAGCATAATGGCTGCATGCAGTGGACACTAAATAAAATACCACTGAAGAGTCAGAGAGTCAAGGAGACAAGGGTGAGGGATAGCATATGGGCAGATTTACCAGGAAAATCCAGAGTGCCCAACAGCAGGATTTCTGACCAGAAAAGTCTGTTCTTTGAACATCTACCCCCTCACTTTACAGGTGGAGAAAATGGGATCCAGAGAAGTAAAATTATTAGGTTAGTGCAAAAGTAATTGTGGCTTTTGGTATTGAAAGTAATGGCAAAAACAGCAATTATGTTTGCTCCAACCTAACAGCTACCTAAGACCACAAAGCTAGACCCTGGCAGAAGCAGGATAGCCACTGAGACAAAGGGTAAATCAACAGCAATTCATAAATAAGGCAAACTATGTTCTTTCCAGTTTTAGACACCAGGGACTTCACATACCAGCTCCTATCTTTATCTATTTTAAAGAAAATGCTTGGAACAGCAATAAGTAAAATAATAGGCAGACCAAATACCTTTAAGAACGTGGATTAATGGGACGATTTAACATATTGTGAAATCTTGGGTTTATCAAGTGCTTTTTCATTTATATGTTAATAGAAACCTGCATTCCTATCTTGCAGAAGAAAAGATGCAGGCTGAGAGAGGTCACACAGGACTGGAATCCAGATATTCTCACTGGAGTATGGTGCTCTTACAAGGAAGTCAGTGTGGTGGACTCAACAGGAGCTCCTTGCCGGCATGTGCATCTGAGATGTGCTGATCTGAGAATAGGGTTTTTCTTTGCCTCAGATTATCAGAAGTAATAGTTAATTCTCTTATTCGACTAACATCTAAAACTATTAGGAAATGTACATGTAAGTTCACTTTTTTTTTTTAACCTATCAGGAGTTGGACACTCCCCACAGATAAATATTTTGTAATTTTACAAAATGTTTGCCCCATAAACAGAGAATTTTGCAGCCCCCATAGTTAAAGAAGCTGCCAATCTGGTTAAAAAAAAAAAAAGATATTAAACAGAAATTCAGTCTCCAATCTTGTTGTCAAATGCCCTTTCTGAATTCCAGTTGTTCAAGAATCCTCAGAAATGCTGTAATGAAACTAACAAATCTTATTATTCTTAAAAATACCTTTTCTTGTTTATGTCTTTGAGACAGATACTAAATCATTAAAAGCTAGAAAGATTGTAAAGGGGCAAACCTACCCCTCTTCAAAAATTCAAGTTTCACTTTTTCCAGGTTTTCACAGAGGCTAACCAAGGATGTGGCATTAAGAAGATATACTGGATAGGGGAACATTATGAATCAGGATGAGACTGCATTTAAAACTGCAATGAGGAATACTGAGTTAGAAAGTACCTTTTCATTCTCCATTCTGTAAATTTCTCATACATTTAGAGTTTAAAAAGGAAAAATCTGGAGTTCCTCCCCAAATCCCGATGTTTCAGGTAGTCCAATAAATTGTACTAAAAGTTTTAATATCCTTAAAGAAAAAAGGAAATAGAAAAAGTTAGAGAAAAACAAGAACCAAAAGATCTGTTGAAAATACCTTCACGGACAACAGGCTGCGGAAACAAAAGACTAACGAAAAATGTCAAAATAGATTTACATTTTATTCTCGACAAGAGATCACCCCACTGTGGGGAGAACGCCAACAAATGCTAGTAAATTCCTTCAGCAAAATGGATCGGCTGCCATAAGACGTCAAGCAACCCACAGAATTTCCAGTGACAGCCCTCTCCCATCTGTAGAAAAGGCAGGCCATTCTCCGGACCCCAGCAGACTGTAGCAAGCACCCACCTGTTCGCAGATCAGGGCTCCGGACTGAGCGCACGAGCCCAGGTCTCGGCTGAGAGCACGCGACACCAGGTATCTGGGTACAAGTCTGCATCTAGATGCTCGGATTTCTCCCCTTAAACACACGTGCACAGGCTCAGCAGTAAAGTCGTGGGAGGTTCCTTGACAGGAAACTTCCAAATTCAGTCCCAAAGCTCTAAGCATACAGCTGGGCATTTAAAGAGACTTTATACTTAAGATTTAGTTTTTTAATTTTAATAAAGGTAGTTCCTTAAAGATACAAAGCGCTATGTACTCGCATTCGGGCGGCCAGTTCACACAACGATGTTAGACTCAACCATGGAAGGCTGCATTTGCCCAATAAGGCAAGCAGGTACAGTCCCCCGGCCGCCACTCTCTCCGTGCGCTTCCCCTCCTTTCAGTCAAAGGCCCCTCCCCCAGGCCCTGTCCGCCAGCCGCCGGTCCGACAGTTCCCGGACAGCATCACCGTGGTTTCCAGGACAACGATTCCCGACCAATCAGAGGGCCGGCCACGGGTCTGCGATTGGCCGATGGCGCCAGGGGCGGGGCCGGACCTTCCGCCTTCGATTTAAAAATTTGGCGCGGAAAGTCGGGCAGTGGCCGGCACCTCCCCTTAGCTGCGCGGGGACCAAGCGCGGGCAAACCCGAGCCCGGAACCACTGCATCCCCGCCCCTCCCCCTCGCTCGCCCCCGCCCCTCTGCGCGGGAGCTCAGCTCCTCCCTCACGGCCCCTGGCGGAGCGGGAGGCGGGAAACGGCCACGGCCGCCGCCGCCGCCACCCGCCGGATCCCGCTCCTGGTGCCGTGCCGCGCCGCCCGGGCGCCGCGCCCCTCTGCGTCCCGCTGACCTGTCACTCCACCTCATGGCCGGGGCCGGTGGGGGCTGAGCCGGGACTCCTCAGCACCGCTGCCCCGCTCAGGCCCGGGAGCCCGCGTACCTGGCAGTCAGTCCGTCTTTCCGCCGCGCCGAGGTGGGTGCCGGAGACAGACGCCGGGACCGGGACTGGCGGGCCGGCTGGCGGACAGAGAAAGCGTGACCGTCCAGGAGCAGCCAAGCCCTTGATTTGAAATTAACCCGCTCCCGGCGCGAGCGGATCCCGCGGGCGGGGAGGGCCGCTCCCCTCCCCCAAGCCCGCTCGCCCCGGCCCCGGCCCCCGCGCGCCAATCCGAGCCTCCTGACCACAGCCGCCGGCGAATCGGTGCAGGCGCCGCCCTCCGCTCCCGCCTCTGCGACAGAGTTGGGGGAAAAGTTCGGCAACTTTTTTTCCCTTTTTTTTTTTTTCCATACACCCGCTCCCCTTGCTCAAAGTTGGGGAATAAAATTTGGCTAGCCCGGGGCTCGCGGGCTGGGCCGCTGGCGCCCTCGGATTCCTCGCGTGGGGCTATCTCACCCCGGCCCAGCCCCAGGCTGGCTCACCTGCCCTCGGACTCCAGCCGGACCTCCCCGCTTACACCCCTGACATGCGTGATTGTGCTGCCCACTGTCTGCCCTATGCCTTGCAGAAATTGGTGTGAGGAGAGAGAAGCTTGGCTCCTGGTGCCTAATCTCCACGGGCGCGGGGACTTGGCCCCGCGGTGAGAACTCAGGTGTAGAGGAAGAGGAGGAAGGCGGAAAACCCGCCAAGCCTGTCCCCGCGGTCTTTCCTCTCCGTCTCCCACCCACTCCTCCCTTTCTCTTCCCTGTTGTCTTTCCCTCTTTTTCCGGTCTCTGAGCCTCGGGCAGCTTCAGCCGGGTTCCCTGTAGAGTCCTAGAGGAACAGCAGGGTCGGGAGACACTTCGATCCTCCGTCCTCACTTTGCAGATCGGGACACCAAGGCCCGGGGCAGCGGCACTGCCTCGGCTGCACCTGGATCACTTGTGCCCGCGTTGGATCCCTTTGCTCTCCTCTGCCTTAGACTTTTCTGCTGACGGGTGCTGAGTGTTGCCCAACTGCGCCGAGATCTGGGCGCCGGTCTCTCGATCTGGACTCGGTTTGGCTCTTCCTCCTCTGTAATCGCGCGTCTTTAGGCTCCAGCAGGGCCCGGGGCCACGTTCCCCAACTCCCACCACTAACTTGAGGATCAGTCACTCTCCCCATTGCTGACTAGCAGGGCGAGGCATTTTTATTTTCTGCGGAATATGATGAGGATGGGGATGCTGTGATACTGAGGCTGGGTCGCAGGACAGCAGCTACCGGCCATAGGACCAGGGGTCTCCGTGGCGAACGAAGGCTCACCTCCCCGCAGAACGCGACTGCAGGCTTGCGGAGTGGTCGCCCTGGATAGTTGGCGCCATCGTGTCCCTGTCCCCACTTCGTTGCCAGCAGAGGTGCAGGTCTTGCTCAAGAAGGCGCTTCAACCTGAAAGCGGGCTTTTCAGATACTGTGCAGAAGGGGCCGCTGGCAGATTTAAAATAAAGCAGGGGTCCCTACACAGGGTTCCACTGTTGCTAGCACTGAGTACCTGGTTCTTACTAAGCCCCGGTACTCCTTTTTTTGGAGCAAATCAGGGTTCTAATGTATCAACAAAAAGTGGGGAGTTGGTGCTTCTGCTTTAGCCACTAACTGTTGGCAGATTATCATCTTCCCCAACCCCCTAAACAGTCGGCGCTCCTAAGAGTGCATAGGTTCAGCTATGCCCAAATGTACCTGAAGTTTTATTACAGCTCCGGAGTCTTGCTGGCCATGAGTGCCCTTTAAAGTTCTTTAGAGGCAGTTTGTCTCATGCACTTGTGTTCAGAGATAGTGGCTAATTCGTTCAAATCTGTGATCTACAGGACCATTCATGCTGCAGATATCTGAGTGACAAGTACCTGAAAGGCATATCATGCAGGGATCAACCACGTCTGGTGACACTTGACAGATGGCTTCTCATTTCATACTCAGCACAGTGTGAAAGCGTGGGGTATGACTCAGATGGAAACAGCATTTTAAAGTGACAATCCCAAGGTCTCACTGTAAGTGACAGGACTGGGATTTGAAGCCAAGGCTGTTTAACTCCTTAGAGCTTTCCACTGAAAGCTGTGTTCACCACTGTGTGGGGTGCTCGTCCTCACTTGCTTCATAGGATAGTTGTGTCCCATTTTATAGAGTAGAAAACCAAGGCACAAAAGGGTTCAACTGATGGCCAAGTTAGCTATAGAGCCAGAATTAGAATCCAGGTCTACCTGCTCCAAGTTCATACATCCCATTCCACTGCCTCTGAAAGTTCCTATGAGAGCAATGTTAGTGCCAACTCAGGCTAGCCCTCAACCATTTCAACACCTCCCCAAACACACAAGAAAACAGGAAGGTGAGAATGTAATTCTTGCTTACTGATAGCTGTCATTGAAGGAAGTGAAATTATAGACAAACTCATTGAATATTAAGAGTGAAGTAATATAGTTTTGAAGTCTTAACAACCCTTTCATGTAATGAGAGGTAACGAAGAAAGAAAGGTGAAACAGTTCTACTCATCACTTTGTAGAGTATCAATCTGAAATGCAGCATGATTGTAAAGGAGAGAAAAGACTAATGAAAACTTTCATGTTTACTGCATAACCAAGAAGGAAGGATCAGGGCATAAGCTTGAAATCTTTTCTTCTTATTTTCCTATCAAATATTTGTTCCACTTATTAGTTACATAATCCAAGGGAATATGTGTGTATTTGTTTTTAGTATTTTGTTCATCATGTTGTGTAATCTGTGTCTCACTGAAGTTAGACCAGTTTTTCTACTCTGTGCTGCCACCCTTCTGGATTGCACAACTTGGAGGGCTGATATGTTGTGTAACATGTTAAGCATTAAATAAAGTAGTAAGAAAAAGGATATCAAAGGTAAGAGGGAAAGACAGGCATCATCAGGGGCACCTACATTCAAAGGTAACATTTGGGATTTCTGAAGTGTGTCCTTTTTCATCACCAAAAAGACAGCAAGAACTTCCTCTACTGGAAGGTCTTGAAAAAAGCAGGCAAGACCTTCCCCTGCTGACCAGGGAAGGATAAAGGGCTAAGGAAGGAGTTGCTCTAGCCAATGGGTTTCTTGACCTGTTCTATCTTCCTTGCTACCTCCACCTCCTGGGTGTTTGTATCATCAGCTTCCTGACCTATTGGGGCAATTTGGGTTGGTGCTTTTTTCTGCATTACTTGTTGGCATAGATACCAAGAAACAGTTGTCTGGAACTTATAATTGCACAAATCCCTATGTGTGGCTGCTCACAACTAGATCTCAGCCCTTCCTGCTCCTTGTACTGAGCCTGCAAATGAATCATGCTGGGTCCAGTCTGGGCAGAATTGAAGAGGATGGATACAAGCAAGGGACCCAGGAGGTAGGTATGCCTTTAGCTGGCTTGTGCTGACTGGAGCAAGACTAGGTCAGAGTATATCCCAGGCAGCAGCAGGGCTGTGTGTGAAATCCCCTCAGACTCTCCTGTGACCTCCTGTGGGAAACTGCTGATGGGCCCTGATCTATCCTGATGAGCCCTATATAGTCATTTGCAGCCCTAAACTCAGCTACAGCAGCAATAGTTGTTGACATTTATCAAGCAATTACTGCTTCTGAATTTTTAAAGTACTTTGGGGATAATAGAACACAAAATATTGAGAGTCATCATGTGAAGCTAGAGTCTGAGTTCTGTCCTCATTTTATTGCACATATAATCTTAAAATTGTCGTAATGTCCTGTAATCTAGTGCTTATCAGTGGGTTGGAAAAACCCTCTTTTCTAGGTTCTAGGACATTAAAGAAGTATATGCAGAGATTCCTAAGAGTAGGATTCAGGAATTTATTACCTAAAAAAAAGTCCTACTGGGGCTAGGCATGGTAGCTCATGCTTGTGATCCCAGCACTTTGGTAGGCCAAGACGGGTAGATTACTTGAGGTCAGGAGTTTGAGACCAGCCTGGCCAAATGGTGAAACACCGCCTGTTCCGAAAATACAAAAATTATCTGGACTTGGAGGTGAGCGCCAATAATCCCACTACTTGGGAGTTGGGAGGCTAAGGCAGGAGAATCACATAAACCTGGGTGGTAGAGGTTGCAGTGAGCCGAGATTGCACCACTGTACTCCAGTCTGGGCCACTGAGCAAGACTCTGTCAAAAACAAAAACAAAAACAAAAACAAAAAAGTCCCATTTAATGCAGGAATTCTATAACCTCCCTGATCAATCAATGATTGCTGTTCTTTGCTTAAAGCTGGTAGTGAAACGTAACTGTGCTGATTCCCTCCAGGCAGATTTGTCATATCCTGTTCCTAATTATATAGGCACCTCTGTTTTGGATGCTTCCCACCTACACCACTGTGAGCTCCTTAAGGCAGGGAGTGGGACTTCTTTACCTCTTGGTCTTGCCAGTGCCCAGCCAGGTGCTTGACCCAGAGCAGGGGTTTGATACATGTTGGTTGATGGAATAAAGTTCTACTCTGGAATGTTATCCCACTGTGCCCAGATGATAACTTGTCTTTTAATTTCTTTATCTTCAGTACTGAATTCAATGCCTGACACATACTTAGGCTAAGTTCCATGATGCTAGGAAAATGAGCTTGTAATTATTACCCCCTTTTAAATGTCAGGATTTTTACTTTAGCTAGGTTCTTCTGTTGTATTTATTTACTCACTGAAAAATAGTGTATTAAGTGCTGTACCTGAATTATAGGTATACCCCGAATTAGGTGCTAGATATGCACAGTGAGTGAAAGAGATAATGTCCTTGCCCTTTTGGAGTTTACAGTCAAGCAGTAGAAAGTGTCTGGTGCAGAGTGTTAGCTTTCATTGTATTTTTTTTCATGTAAGTATGCGATTTCTCTGCCATTCTCAATTCAACAAATATGCTTTTAAACAAAAAATAAATGTTCTACCTCTGTAGCAGTTTTTAAAAGTTTCTGTAGATATTTTTCTTCCCTAGGAATCCAAGTTCTGTTCTCCTCCTTTCAGCCCATATGTATGGATCACATGCTCCAAGCCTAGGGTCTCTGCTAGGCACCAGCTACAGGACATGATGGCTGTCCTTGGGATTCTAGCAACAAAGCTAACTCTTCACTTACTCCCAGTCCCCGTCTCTCTTTCTCTCTCTTCTGCAGAGATGTGGACTTCATTTGGATAAAATGTCTGCTTCTCTGAGTTCTTCAAGATTGTGGCTTCTTAGTCACTGGAGGAAGCCCTCTTTATCCTGGAATGA